TCTGAAATCATCTGGGCTGTTAGTCACCATGTGATGTTCACCTCTGCAAATAACGCGACTGTTTTCTCTGCTGGGACACCTGCCCGCTGGCACACTCTTCAAACAACTACTGAGTATTTTCCCATTGATGGGGACAGATATGAATCTCTCCTGCCATCACGCATGATACCGAGATGAGAAGGGTATTGTCTACACCTGCCAATGCCTACTGGTCACTCTTGGCAACAGCAGAGCTATTTTCCCGCCTCTGACTAGCAAAGACAGCATGACGCATATTTACACATTTCACAGGCTCTTAACAATAAGCACCCAGTATCTCAAATAGACAGCAAAGTCAAGATGTGTCAGAAAAAACGAGAGAGAGAGAGAGAGAGAGAGAGAGAGAGAGAGAGAGAGAGAGAGAGAGAGAGAGAGAGAGAGAGAGAGAGAGAGAGAGAGAGAGAGAGGATTAGAGGTAATGGTGATGCAGGTAGGGAATAAAAATCCAGACAGACAACTAGAGCATCAAAAAGCACTTTAATCTGCCAATAAATGGAGACATGCTTTTAAAAATAATTGTAGGAAATCACACATAAGGGCAGCTAAAAGCCTCTTTTTATACAGACACATCAAATCTTTTATCAAATCCACTTCACCATCAGGTTATATAAACCTGAGATATTTTTGAACTTCCACGATTTTGCAATTTATTATCATGTGGGCTCTCTCTATACAGATTTAGAATAACATTCATTTCTGAATAAAACTCCTCCAGCTCTAAACAGCCAGACATATAATAACGTAATGGCCATGGAGCTTAAAGCAAACATTCACACCCTTTTTCTCAGACTATGGGGTTTTCATGTTGTCTCAAAAACACACTTTTTTACTACCCATGTTAACTCTGAAACACTCAAAACTGTAGGTAATATCAACTTAACCAACTATAGAGCAGAAATAACACTGTTTAAAGCTTTCACATGTTCATAAAAAACTAGGGTATTTGTGTCTGACTTTGTGATTTTGGTGCCTTTTAGATCATTTTTTTATTGCAACTATCAGAAAAATAATATGACTCAGTGTGCAATTAATTTAAATAACAGATCCATAGAGTATGTGCATGCACTTTGTTAACCAAGTCACAAAGAGTGCAAGTTTTAACTGATGAAACTCAACCCTCTCATCTCAATGTCGACTCTTGTGGATCCAAAATACCAGGATGTCAGTGAAATACCACGGGATTTGGCCAGCGTGAGCTGTGAGGAACTCGGGCCTTTACCTGTAGGCTGGGAGGTCCGAAGCACCGTGTCTGGCCGGATCTACTTTGTGGTTCAAGGCTTTGAAAGAATACGCCACAAACCGATGGCTAGCCAAAGAACGACGTGCAAGACCACGAGAAGCCATCACCAAAATTAAGTTCTGAACATGCAACACTGCTGTTGAAATAAGGTTAAGAATGTGTGTAACAGCTGTTACGCTGGGATATGACATGCAGCTACCTGAAAGCTGAAGAGAGTATTTAAATATGAGGTAAACTTGCACGCAGGTTTGGCAACAGTCTGTAGCACAATCCCTCCAGTCTTATGGGAAAATTATTATACATGGACCCTAGTTTTGTTTTAAACATTATAGACTGAGCAGCTTTGACGAGGTTTCGGTTTTTCCCTGTCCTAAAAGTATTTTGTGTTTTGTGTAATAAAATATAAAGTTTCGGTCTGTGCGACACATTTGCAAAAAGAACATCTCGATCTGCTGCATCCACTTTTCAAATGCCATTGACTCCCTCTCTCAACCTGTCTGGACAGCTTGATGCTGAGTATACGCTGTGCGTGGGATAGAAGTCGCTTCTCAGTACACGATGGCCTAAAACGTCCATTGCTGGAGTCAACAAACACTAGTCCATATTCAGTATTCTCATTTTGATTTACAGTTTACAAATGACACAGACAGACCTCCCGTGAGCTTAATATTATTCCTAAATGCGCTCTGACACTGGATTTAGGCATCCAACAGCAATTCCACTGCAATAAACTCAAGTACACCAGTAATATTTGTTGTGTTTTTTTTACTTTCACACACACTTCTTTGATAGTAAAAATTCTCTGTGACTGAAAATCAAAATGAAGATGACGTCTTTCACGCTGCCCACTCGCCTCGTCCATTCTTAAATTTTCCGTCCTCATTTCTCCCAGATCTCAGCTGTCTGGCTTACAGCAGCTGTTGCTAGGCAACAGCTAACACCCACCCATATGAATATTAACACTTATATCACAACAACACTGTCAGAACAGTAAAATAAAGGACAAAATGCATGCTGTAAATAGATCGAGTTATGCATCCTTTTTGCGACTGAACATGTAAAACAAGTGCCGATTCACGGTCATTTTAGCTGTTTCGAAACATTTATGTTTATGTCACTTGGTTTTAGCAACTGAACATCTGAATCAAATGAAACCACAAGCACAAGATGATGCTTCTCAGCTGTAGCAGGTTCTAAACTGTTCACCTCTAAGCTCATCAGCGTTTTTCTTTTTTAACACCGGCATGTTTTCTCAATGTTCCAACCTGCGATACAGTGACAACAAACACTTGGCAGTGGAGCTTTTGAACACCCGAGTCACATTTAGATCTTTTTCTATTCTTTTTCCGCGCTGTTCTCTGACTCACAGATAATAAATCTGTTGCAGTGACACTGAAAACCTGTGCAGGCCTACTTTTTTCTCCCCAATCAACCAATAAAAGAATCAGTAGTGGTGCTGGGATTAGAAATACTGAAACGAAGGCAAACAAACATGTAATAGGGCCGTGGCTCCAGGAAATCTGATTTAAAACAATCATTGCCACCAACTATAGGCAGATTTACACGCCACACATGCTTTGTTGAAGAATGAATGAAAGAGCAGGTGAATAGGAGGCAGGGCACTGGTGATGAGTTCAGTATACAGAGAGAGGCTGAACAAAAATATATGTTACAAATACACCGGCATGAATACCTTTCCAAATTCTTTCCTGCTCACTCAGTGACGCTTACACAGAGACAGCGCTGGCACAAGTTAAGACCTGCAGCGAGAGGGTGTGTGTGAGCTGTTATAGGCCTGTGTGTGGGAAGATAGACAGGATTGCTCTGTTTCTACAGAATGACCCAACAAGGAGGGGGAGACAGGCAGCTGGATCACAACACGCTTCAATATAATGGAAATTTCTGCAGTGATGATCTTTAATTGGATGGCTTAGTCACGCAACTCTGACCTGTCACTTTATTTTTCAAACAAATCAGTCTTTAGGATTAAGTTATGACACACTCAGTGAAACACCAGCACACATACATTGTTTTCATTCAAAACTTCTTACAGCAACACTGTCTCAACCTTGATGTCCTCAAGATGAGCGTCTCTCCCTCTCACTGTCACTCGGGTCACCCTCACTTTCACTGTTAGTTTTGTCACATGAATTTGCCCTTTGGGCACTGCTGCCCTTATCCAGTAGTTCTTTTAGTATCTATATGTTGCATCATTGTTATATAAAACTGAGCTCCACATGTGATTTAACTAACCGTGCTGAGTACAGCTGAAATTATCCTGATGAATGGATAATGAGAACAGGGACATGAAAGTGAAGGCATCCTATGGTCCAAACAGCACTTACAAAATAATGATCCCCATCTTCTTTATCACAATTACAGTCATACACATGACGTGTGTCCTATGATCTAAGGAAACAGCAGGTCTGGAACTCGTCCAGTGAACTGGGAGAGAGAAGGGGAAGTTTCTGAATCTGTTCTGCTTCTCTTTCTCTTCCTGGCATTCTCTCTCAGCCATCTATCATCCATAAATCAGCATGAGATTTATGGAGCCAACTGGATGTCCGTCTCCCCTCGCCCTCTTTCTTACATTTCCCTGCCTGCCTTCTCATTTGATTTACTAACTATTATTCTGAGGACATATACAACAGTGAAGAAACCAGATGAGCTGACTGTGAGAGGGAGACACAGGGGAAGAGCAAGAGGGAAGCAACAAAATGACAAACATAGAGAACTGCAACTAAACACGCAACCAATGCTGACATGGAGATACAGAGGGGATGACTTAATAACCGATCTGTGGCATTTTTTTATTTCTCTACAAACTAAATAATTCATAATTTGGTCCTTTAAGTTGAAAACACTAAGTAGAAGGCATGCCCACATATCTGCAACGCCTCTAACTGGCATATTTAACAGGGGATTCCTGGCCTACATGTTGCTTGCTTTCTTTTATTCTCCCCCACTGGCCTGTACAGGAGTGCAGCCAGATTGGCACGTGGACCTAGTGAGGCTACAAACCTCCAGCGGATAGGCACAGCTGGCTTTGTGCCCAGGATACAAACTCCCTTCTTGCAGAGAGTGTGTACTCCACTCCCTGCTGCTTCTTTGCAAGCCAGGGCCACTATTGTTGGTGCTGCTGCAGCTGCTGCAAGGGTCTCTCCTCTCCACTGTGCAAAATGACACACATTAGAGGACTGCATGCCCTTCTGTATGACTAAAGAAAAGACTGCACCCAAACTGTACTTCAGTGTTCCCCTTATACCCTCAAAATGTATGTGTGCCCCTTGTAAGAAGGTTAAGGGAATGATGTGATCACTAGAAAACCACTTGTAATTTTACATTTCGGCAATATGGATCCTCATTGTGCGTGGCAGTGGGTGTCCCTCATCTCCTCATTTGCACTGGGCTGATAGACAGCCCACGTTAAAAAATAAAAATAAAATAAAAATCACACCATTACACATCCAGCTGATGTATCACAAAGATGCCATATGAAAATTACAATCAATGAATAAAAATGCAATAAAGAAAATATGGATAGAGAATCGCCATCCAGCTCTTTCAACGTCCTTTCATTTTACCCTGTTGATACCACTGTTACATTCCGCATGGGCGAAGCGTGCTATCCCCCCTTCAGAAAAAAGAAATCCCGTAGCCTAAAATAAGGTGTGCCATTTTTTTTGCGCAAAGCTACTATGTGCCCGAGAGGAGCTCCTACCTGAATCGGGGCGAATCTTTTATACATTCTTCAAAGTCCACAGTCATTTTTGCGTTTTCTCGTTAATTCCCACGTCAGGCTGCCAATGTCATTGCCCCCAACGGGATGTAGCTTGAACCGTGTGGATGATGACTGGTATCCCCTTGACGCGCAGCAGTCTGTCGCCCCTCTTCTGGTGGCACGGTGACACAAAATGCGAGCCGAGTACGCGGCACGCAGATTACTACTACACTACTGCCGCTGCTGCCCAGACAGGCGGGAGGCGTAGCTGCACCGTGAGCACCGGTGAAGGAGAGAAGAGCGCCGAGCAGACACAAGCTTCCGTAACAACCCAGGAGGAGCACAAGGAATCATGGGAGATAGATAGATAGATAGATAGATAGATAGATAGATAGATAGATAGATAGATAGATAGATAGATAGATAGATAGATAGATAGATAGATAGATAGATAGATAGATAGATAGATAGATAGATAGATAGATAGATATTAAATACCCCATAGTACCATTTTATCCTAACAGAGCACTTTGCTTTCAAACTGCATGCTTATTTATGGTTGTAGCAGTTTTTTAAAGTAGAATGGGAGGCTGAGCCTTCAGCTTCCAGGCCCCTCTCCTGTGGATTCTCCCAGTTAGGATTCAGGAGACAGGTAATCTCTGTGATATTAAGATTAGTCTTAAAACTTTTTGTATTAAACTTTTAGCTCGGACTGTATCGGGTGAACTCTGAACCGTGTATATGCTGCAATAGATTGTAGCAGCTGGTGGGGGCTTCCCATGATGCTTTGAAAGTTTTTTCTTCACTGGCATGTTTTCATTCTCTGTATTTATACATCAATTTGTGTTTGATCATTAAAGTGTCTCTCTTTCTTTCTCTGTGCTCTTAGGCTGGTTGTTGGTTCTCCAGGAGGTTTCTTCCTGTTAAAAGTGATTTTTTCCTTTCCGTATGCCCATCATTGTTGGGATTTGTCTATATTATTGTAGAGTCTTTACCTTAACAGCGCAAATCACCTTGAGGCAACTGCTGTTGTGATTTTGCGCTATACAAATAAAACCGAATTGAACTGAATTAAAAGCTACTGTGGGTGTAATGTGTAGGTGGTCCTGTACTTTTGTCTATACAGTGTTTGTAAACACAAAAACTGGCTTAAGCATGTGATATTTCACTCATGATTAGCATCAGCTTAAACATCATCTATGTGGAAAATGTGTAGGTATGTGTATTCTCTGGGGGGCACAGAGAATAGACTTAAAGAAAATAGCAACAGTGGTTTGTAAACATATGAGCCTTTGAATGAGCTTAAATTTACTAACCTTATTAACCTTATCATAAATTAGACACCTACAAATCACCTAAAAAAGTGGACAACTTCAAAAAATAATATTGTAGATTTGATATAACTAATTATGGCCAATCTATCTTAAACAAACTTTTTTCTTTTTTGCTTGACTCCGCTTGACCGCTTGCTCTTGTTAGCGGTACATTGACTACTTGCTGTCGACCAATCTTAAACGTGAGTACAGTATCTGGCTTCAATGACTGGAGCAAGAAGGCTCTGCGGCTGGAGCGACGTAATCAAAATGCGACGTACTACAATGTGGAAGGAGGCAAACATCCAGAAATGTTGCTGTGTAGTAACGTGCACTGAACATAGGTGTCACAGCTTGGATAGAGTCATACAGTGCACGTGCCATCTCACTGCTAGTTATCACGCGGCGCTTGTAACAGCTCTTTTATCGGGTCTGCACTGTACTACGGCCTCGTGACACAGTAACGTGCGCTCTCATATGTCAACAGAAGAATTCTAACAGCTGTTGTCTCCAGTGGACTTCCGGACTACACTTCAGAGGGTTCTCGGTGGTACTTGGAGGTGAGGGGTCGTGTCTGGCTAGCACAGGAACGTTTCACCAGAGGTTCAGTCTGCAGGGACATCAGTCACAGCTGGATCCATGAAATGATTCTGCATTGCAGTTTTTCCATTCTCGTAAACGAGGAACATGCACAACCGGGCTCGTTACCTCATATTTTTTCAGTACATCGGAACAAAATACCGGTAGGTTACAGGGCACACTGAGATGTTATATCTTATTATTATTATTTTTGAATATACCACTACTGTTATCATTATTGCAGTGGAGCAGTGAAAGTCCCTCCACATCAGCTGGGGAAGAAAGGGGTCCAGGACCACTTGGAGGTATGTTTTAACTCACTTAAAGCTAATCAGGTGACAAGTTGCCTTTGAGCTGCTAGTATTAAATGTAGTTAGGCTTAAAAAGCTGTGTCATGACTTTATGAGTCTGCTTAGCTTAGTAATTCATTATAGGCCTTAAATCCTCTAGGTCTCTGATCCACTCATCAAAAGCAGCGTCATATGGTGTAATGCATAAGCATTTCATTAATCTTTGACTTGGATCCTTTTTTCTGGGCTTGTTTGTCGTATATATAAAAAAACTTTACAATCTCAACTTTATGTCGATGCCTTTTGAAAATCTAAAAAGTGAGAATGATCAGACTGCTGTCTGATGATTAAAGGCGGTTTCAATAAATGATTCAAAGGCAGCAAGGAGCCACATGAGAAAATGGGACTAATGTTAAGGGCCACACCAGTAAGCTTATAAAGAAATAAAACTAACTCTCTGAGGTCTAAGTCATGGACTGGTCCTTTTCTACTCTACCTGAGGAGTCAAAGCACTTTATACAACACGCCTCATTCTCCCTTTCACACCCTTTCTATGTAACATTCACACTCCGATGGATGCATCTAAGAGCAACTTAGGGTTAATATCTTGCAAAAGGTAAGGCAATTGGTAGATTGGTAGATGACCCGCTCTACCTCCTGAGCTACATCCACCCCTTGGGATCATAAGCGCAAACCCTAAATGCCTGAATCCCAAATGTCTTTAGAGATGATCTAAAATATACCATTAAATGTGATTTAGAGAATTTTTGCTTTTGCATATGTTATTTTTCATAGTTATCACATCATTAAATATCTAAATAGCTTCTGTGTTATTTACAGTAAGATGTGTTCACAACAGAAACACTGTTAATTTGTTGGCTTTAATCTGTTTTTGTGGTGTAGGACTTATATGCATCAAACTGTCATAAAAATCCATATAACTGCACTGTTAGGAATAAAACCTGGCATACAGTTTGAAGTCCGTACTTTCTGCTCTTTCCAAACATGGACTAAGCGAGGCTCCATCGTGCTTCTAAGTTGTCAAAAATCAGTCATTTGTTTTGGACGTGCCAACACGCACATTGACTCCAGAGGGTGAATAATGAAGTTCAGCTTATTGGTGTGGCACTCCACACCTGGGTTGAGCACTACAATCACCAAACTTATGATATGACGCATAAACAAGGTTCCTGTTTCACATCCAGCTGCTTCGTGGATTGTTGCATGTCTTTCTTGATCACTGTCTGTTCCTTGTTTTCTTGTCAGCTCTCTACTGTCTACTGTTTCTAATAAAGGCATAAAAAGCCCAAAAATAAGCACAGAGAGAAGGAAACACAGATTACAGGGCAAAAAAAGATCAGTCTTTCTTGTCACATCATGCCTCTGTTCACAGCTCTGTTTGATAACTATTTGAGGCAGACAAGGCTGTGAGTGGCTTCAGAAGTTTGAAAGTGAGCTTTAAAAAAGTTATTTGTTTTCTAGGCTATCAACCCAAAGCTATTAATATCTAAAAAGATCTTTTCGTCTTTGTGTAGGATGCAATCCAGCGACTGAGGCCAGTCAATCCTGTATCCCTGTCAGTTTCCAGCAGGACGGACACGGGTGTCCACGCCCTCTCTAACTCCGCACACTTTGACCTGCAACGCAAGAATGACAAGCTGCCGTTCACTGAAGATGTTCTTGTTCAGGCGCTCAATTTCCACCTCGGGACAGAACAGATCAGGTGAGTAAAGGGTCTTGAAAATCTTGGTGAGTGCATGAGTGCTTTTATGACTTTGTAAGTCTCTGAGTTATGTAATTAAGCCACTTAAGCCAAATAAAAACACATTTCTCTGTCTCTGAGATCAGTTTTCTCTGAACACATTATAGAAACAGTGAGACATCAAAAGGTATGTGAACATAACCTGGATGAGTGCTAAAGTAGTTTCCTTTAGCACTACTTGATCTTGCACCCCCCCCCCCCCCCCCCCCCCCCCCCCCGCCAAGAAATTGACCTAAATGTGACTTTTCTTTTTTAATCCTCTTACACTGAGTGAATGCAGTTTAGTCAGCTGGTGAAGCAGCAGCCTTGTGTTTTCTCTGATAGATGGTGTTGCCATCTTGTAACAACTGACCTGTCAAGTAGCTTGACAAACAGTGTGCAAGTGCCAGTGTGTTCTCTGTTGTTGGCAATAGGTGGTCAAACCAAGCAGGATTTTTATTCATTAACTGCACTGTACTTTTTAATAAATAGAAACCATTCCTGGCATTATTTTTGCCTGATCAAAATAGTTTTCAAAAAGCTATTATGAATTTTTATAATTGGCACAATTTAACCTGATTGACTGCTCCATAAATAACACCAATGAGAAATAAAAATAGAAATGTTTACTATGGAGACACACAGGATATGGCCAAACATATGCAGACGTACATTCACTGGTTGTTTCGTTAGGTACACCTTGCTAGTACCAGGTTAGAGTCCCTTTTGCCTTCAGAACTGCTTTAATTCTTCAAGCGTAGATTCAACAAGGTGCTGGAAGCAATTTGGTCCATATTGATATGTAAACATCACACAGTTATTGCAGAGTTTATCAGTTGCACATCCATGATGAGAGTTTCTCAGTCCATCACATCCCAAAGGTGCTCTATTGGATTGAGATCTGGGGACTGCGGGGCTTATTTGTGTACAGTGAACACATTGTCATGCTAAAGAAACCAGTTTGTGATGGTTTGAGGTTTGTGCCATCTGAAGAAGAGTTCACTGTGGTCATGAAAGCATAAAAGCAACGATACTCAGGTTGGCTGTGGTGTTTAAATGATGCCCAGATGGTATTAAAAGTCTGTCAAAAATATTCCCCACACCATTAAACCACCATAGAGGATCCACTCTTTCATGCTGTGTCTGGCTAATTCTGACCTTACCATCTGAATCAAAGCGGAAATCAGACCAGGCAATGTTTTTTAGTCACCTGTTGTCCAATTCAGAGGAGGCTGTTTGAGTTGTAGTCTCAGTTTCCTGTTCTTAGCTCAGAGTAGTAAGACCTGGTGTGGTCTTCTGCTGCTGTAGGCCATCTGCTGCAGGG